TTTCCCGTGAACCGGTCCTTAACTGCCATGGGTGCGACCAGCAAAACCATGCACTCACAGCCCGCCATTCAGAATATTTTAATTAACTGACACCCTTGCGGTGGCACCAATCTAAAGCTATGCCAATAGTCAGAGTCTATGTAATAATGTGATCCCCATTTGTGTCCTAGTTGAACTAAGCATGGCTAAGCATTTCCTAAGCCAACATCTAGTCATTTTGATACCCAAGTTATCAATGGCATAAGGTAACCAATATGTGGCTAAGGAATAGGACCCATCCCACATTACATTGTAAAAGAATGCAACATTTAATAGAAATGCGGGATATTGGTAAATTGGGTAAAATATGATCAAACGTATTGCATGACTTGCCTTGCTCTCGAACTGATGAGACCTCAGCAATGTCTTCAAGAAACTGCGGATCGACGAAACGGCCGAAACCTACGCGACAAACAAAGCACACAAGCAAAACATGCTATAAGACTACTGAAACAGGAAACAAAACCATTTTTAATGGATTCTTTGCATTTTTCTTGATTTACTGAGACTTGAATGGACTTAAACGGAGCTTGGATGAATTACTTATGAATTTTAGAAGATAAACTGTGTTTTTACTAATAAAGAAAAAGTACTTAATTAATTATTGCGCAATAATACCCAGGGCTGACGTCATCCAAGGGGGGGGCGGCGCCGACAGGCGGGGCCCACGGGTCAGCGGCTCAAAGGGGTGAGGAAGGGGGCGCCGGCATGTGGGCCCCACGGGCAGTGGCTCAAGGTGGCCGGTCTACCGTGGACCGGGACCACACGGGTGGTCCACCGCCGGTCCACGGGACCGACGGTCCGGATCGGCCGGGAGGCCGATCGGACGGCACGGCGGCGGCTAGGCACGGCTCGGCTCAGCTTCAAAACCGGCCGGCCGGCCATGGCAACCGGCGGCGACGCGCACGGTCGCCGGCGAGGGCAATCGGCGGCGCGGGAAGCGACGGCGGACGGGGTACAGGACGGCGGCGTCGACCGAAAGCGACGGCCAGCGCGTGGAGAGAGGCGGCGCAAACGAGAGAGAGGGGAAGAGGGAGGAGGGGGGGATCCTCACCGGCGAGTATGGCGGCCGGAGCGGAGGATGAAGGTGGCGGCGACGACCTGGCGACGAGGAGGGGCGGACGGGCGGCGGCGGCACCGGTGTGCGAGGAGAACCGGGCTCCGGTGGGGTTTAGCGGAAACCGAGCGGCGGCCAAGGTGGCTCACGCGGCGGCAATGCTAATGGCGGCGGCGGCTTGGCGCGGCGGCGGCTCTAGCGGCTGCGGCGCGCGACCGGAGGTGGCGGCAAGCGGCGGAGCTAGTAGCGAGCGGCGCGCGACCGGTAGGAGGCACGGGAGAGCGCGACGAAAAGGGGAAAAGGGAGAGGGAGATGCGGGGAAGCTTTATAGGGGCTCGAGAGGGGCGGACATGGTCGGGAAACCCCCCGATTTGGCCGGCGACGTGGGAGGGAGAGAGAGAGAGTGGGGGGATTCAAATTGAATCCCGCCCATTTGCGGGCGCGCGTGCGGGCGGGAATGGCGGGGAGGGCGGCGACGTGGGGACGCGGAGTGGGGGCGCGGCGTGGAGCGGAGAAGGCGGCGGCGCGGACGGTTTCGGCGGCGGTTGCCGTCGTGGGGCTGGCGGCTGGAGGAAGGGGACGACCTGACAGGTGGGCCCCACCTGTCAGCGTCCCGAAGAGAGGGGAAAGGGGAACGGGCCGGCCCAAAGGAAGGAGGCCGAGCGCGGGAGGGAGTGGGCCGACGGCCCAAAAGAGAAAAAAGAAGGAAAAGAAAAAGAAAAAGAAGAAAGGATTTTTCCTGGGATTTAAAATTGCACTTTGGTGATTTTTAATTGGTTAAAATTATTTCCAAGGCTCTGAAAATTCCACTAAAAATCTTATTAATGCATTGGAGCATGGGGAACTCAAGAAAAATTCCACCACGCTATTTCCGATTATTAATTGCATTTATTAACTAGGGATTTAGCTCTAGGTTAATTAAGATAATTTCTTCGGGCAATTTATTTATCCAATTTTTAAAGCAAGAAAAGGGGGGAAACTTCAGGTTGTGACACTCTTCGATTTTTTTTTTCAAATGTATACTTGCCACTGGAATTGTTTAGTGACTATGTGTATGGAGTATATGGAAAAATGAATTTAGGCATCATCATATTGAATGACGAAAGTTTATTCATTTCCTGATTGAGCCACGTACGCTTTAAAATATGAGCCATTGGATTTGGAAAGAAGGGCTAAAAATATGGAGAGAAGGAGAACAGTGAGGAGGCTTCCATTAGAAGGATCTAGGGAATACATGTGGGAGTAAAAACACAATCATAGATAACTTTGGCAAAAACAAAAATATCATTAAAAAAATACAAAATTAGAAAAAAAATATGGGTTTGCAAAAAAATATGGCACCGCATTTTTTATTTAATTTCAGTCACTTTTTCTCCATATGATTGCTTTCTCCCATATGTAACTATGCTTTTATCTCTCCAGTCTCATTTTCCAAGTAGATAATAAATTACTTTTAATTCTAATTCTCTTATACATTGTGTATTAGAAAAGTATACAATGTAAATATTAAATTTTACAATGTAATTACAATTTGAGTTTTAAAATTTACGGTGCAATTACAATGTGGGTGTATGTAATTTACATACTGTAAAAACAATTATGACTAATTTTGGTGTAAAATATGGTGCCATAAATACAGCTACATCCAAAAAATATCAGGTTAGAGAGGAGATGGTGGAACGTGTTGAGTTGGGATGGAAGAAGCGTTGGTGTACATGGAGAAATAAAACATGAATGAACAAGATAAAAGGGTTGAGGAGTTGCCATTGCATGCCAACAGATAGTGGTGCCGCCTCTTTTCGCTTGTGTTGTCACGTGCAATGCTTCCTTTCAATAGAATGACTTAAACTAAAGTTTATAATACAAAACAACAGGGTTCTCCACAAGTTTATTAGCAGTTATTATATTTTAAATATCTGTCTGAATAATTTTTTAAATGAAAAAATATTTGGGCAAATATTTAAAATATAATACATGCTAATAATATACATAATTTAGAACCTTCCAATATTATATTTACAATAATTTTTACACGTTAGACATGTTAACTATTTATTATCACAACAATATTGTTTATTAGAGATAAAAAAATGTAACAACACTTCCTACCAAATCTAATAGACAGGAGGCTTGGGTCGCGCGAACGCGCAACTCTACTCGCTAGTTAAATTGAGAGCATATGTGTTAGGTTTATTGTTGGGTACGGATCGATATGATAGATGTGAGCCATGCATTTGATTTTTGTATGTGTTCATTGTATATATGATAGACTAATGTATGGTTAGGACACGATTTATATTTTTAGGGTATTTTTTCCATGTCAATTAAATATTTGTTGTAGGCTAGTAGTTGATAACATTTTTTAGGCTTATGTTGTGGTCAATCTTAATTTATGCATTGATAAAGAAACTTTTGGGTTTGTACGACATTTAGGAAGAATGATAGACTATTTTCAAAAGATTATAATAATACGTTTTCGGTGTAGATGGATAGACTTGCTCGTCTTTACTACGTTGTAGGTTGGTTAATTAAACGTTATATTGGTGCACATATTGAGTTCGAGGATATGATGTTGAAGGACATTTTTATTCCCACCCATCCCACTATAGATGAACTAAGGTTGCAAGTGAAAGATGTTCTTGGATGGACCAAGGAGAATGTGAGTATACCGCGCTCTTCGATTTCCGCCAACAAATCCCATAAAAAACATCTCCAAATCGATCACATTTAAGAAGAAGAGGTGAGGAAGGAGAGAGAGGGAAGGGAGGAACCCTCCCTGTTCTTCACTCAGGCAGGGGGGAAATGAGGTTGGGGGAGGGGGGAGATCCCGCGCGGCTTAGTCCTTCTCAGTGGATGGCACAAATGATGCTAGCATTATGGGTTGACCCAAGGTGCCAATGTCATTGGCGTCATCCCCCGGGTGCCCCGTCGACCGGGATTCCATGGTGGCAGGGGAATGGCCACGGCGTCAGCGTCATTTGCACCAAAAAAAGATTTATTAATATCATAAGTTTTCTTGAGAGTTTTGTTTATAAAATAAGTTTTAGAAAAGATTAAATTGTAAGAAATCTAGGCTAGCCATTCCCGCACAACATAGGGAAGGAAGAGGTTAACATAGGGAAGGAAGAGGTGGGGATGCAAGGCATATCGCATCCACTGCTAGCCTAAAATCCAATTTCTAATCCTTCGTTTTCCACTGATACTTTTCGTGAAACTACTAACCGGTGTGTTTTTGCAAAAAAAAAAAGTTCTATAGGAAAGTTACTTGAAAATCATATTAATTAATTTTTTAAGTTTGTTTAGCTAATACTTAATCAAGCATGCACTAATCTACCTCTCCATTTTACGTACTTGAGAAGGGCTCCCAACCCCAATGGAAACCAGCCTTAACATGATTAAATTCCAATCATTATTATCAATGTTTAAGAATAAAAATGTACTAGGAGCTACAAGAGAGCACCTATACATTTTACTTTTTCAGAAATATCTCGATCTAAATTGGGGAACACTGTTCCTAGTAAGCAAAAGCTTCTTCACGTACGAACAAGGCAACAGCACACTCCAGTACTCCACATACCACTATCACACAGTGGGATCGCTTACGTCATATACTTTTGTCCTATCCAGCCGCCCTATGTCAGCCACATGCCAGATGTGCCCTACACGACCAGACGCCTTTCCCGTTAAAAGCGACAGCCCATTTATGGGCCCCACAACCCTGCCGCCCTAATGCCCTATGAACACTATATTAATCCCTCCAACTGCACTTAGAGTAAGTTTAATAGTATAGCCAACTACGGACTCCAATTTATTTATAGCCAATCTAATAGCTCATTCATATAATAATTACATACTACACTATTAATACTTGGTCCCATCTGTCATACACACACTGCATCTTGGAGTCCGTGCTACAGCTGGTTACAAATCTGTAGCCCGCTGCCCATCTCTCTCTTTATTTATCTTCTTAAAATATGTTTACAGCTGGCTTATAGCATGCTATTGTACATGCTCTTAGCGAGCTCTATATAAACCTCGCTACCCGATTCGCTGCCTTCCTGGAACCAATCAGCAGCTAAAAGTCAATCCACGCCACCATCGATCTCTCTATCCAATCCAAGCGCGCAAATCAATGGCAGAGCATTTCAGCCACGCCGGCATGTACATCGGCTACACGGCAGACGCCGCCGCGTCCTCCTCCTCCTCCTCCTCGTCTTCGTCGTCTTCCTCCTCGGAGATGCTTCGGTTCGACACGGGCTGGCCCGACGAGACACCTGCGCCATCCTCCGTGGCGGGGAGGAGGAGGAGCGCGGGCGGTGATCATCGTCAAGGTCGGGGACAGACGGAGGCGGCGGCGGCGTTCATCGGGGTGCGGAGGCGGCCGTGGGGCAGGTTCGCGGCGGAGATCCGGGACTCGACGCGGAACGGCGCGCGGGTGTGGATCGGCACGTTCGACAGCGCCGAGGCCGCCGCGATGGCCTACGACCAGGCCGCGCTCTCGGCGCGTGGCGCCGCCGCGGCGCTCAACTTCCCCGTGGAGCGCGTCCGCGAGTCGCTCCACGCGCTCTCCCTCGGCGCGGCCGGGGGCTCCCCCGTGCTGGCGCTGAAGCGGCGGCACTCGAAGCGAAAGCGGCGCAAGAAAGCTGAACTACTCGCCGCCGCCGCCGCCACCGCCGCGACGGCGAATGCCACGCCGCAGACGCGGAGGATCAGCAAGAGCACGGAATTGACTACTGCGACGACGGACGAGCAGAAGCGGTTCGTCGTGGAGCTTGAGGACCTCGGCGCCGAGTACCTGGAGGAGCTTCTCTGGCTGTCGGAGATCAATGGTGGTAGTGACCCTGCTGACTGATCATCCAAAAGGTTGGCAATTTGCAAGGCACCTCTTGCGAATTACATTTCGCGCGCATGCAGTTGCAATGGAACGTGCAAACTGCAAAAAGCTGCATGCAAGTATGCAACTGCAACTGGAAGTACTACTTGAACACATGCAAGTATGCAACTGCAAGTACTACTTGAACACATGCATGTGTGTTATTGCATCCTACTACTTGCTGTCTGGCTCTCTCTAGAGTGCCAATAAAGTGCAGACAATGCAACACATGCTGGAGCAAGCAACAATTTGGTGGTCACCACCATATTATACGCACAACATGCTGAAGTATTTTCAAGGTGTGTACTTTGGGCGGGGACTGAACTTTATGTCTTTATCGGACACAAGGACCTACTTCCCAAAAGCTAGCTAGCTTGATGCATGCATCTTGCCCCATGGGTACACATAATAATATTATTAAACTTTGTATGGCATGTGCCCAAATTAGTACTATCAACATTTATATGTACTAGTATGACCGTGATTTTACTCTCGAAATTCACTGTACTTAACAACTTTCTATGCTCCCTCGAGTAATTAAGGTAAAAGAGAGTAACTCAAAAATACGTTAAGCTACCATTAAACACTTTCAGCTTGTTGTTAAACGGAATACTAGCTAGTGTGTACAAGAAGATGAACTGAATGAACAAAAGGAAAATCTAGCGGGGAATTGGCTCGAGAAATTCATACATATGGACATGCATGGTGTGCTACAAGAGTACATATCTACAACACGGTATTATATATACATCATATCCTTACAGACTTTTGAAGCATTATGTGCAAGCTAGCAGATTCTGCATAACTTTGTTCACTTTTTCCCTCAAAAAAAAACTTTGATCACTTTTCCTTGCCTTTTGGGAGAACTAATTCACTGCTTGCCTATGCTATAATGGTAACTAGCTAAAAGAAAAAAAAAATGTATTAATGTGTTACCCATCTTTTTGCTATAGAGACTTCCTCTGATTTTTTATATGGCAATCCATTTAGACTAGCCTATGATATCGCACATTCACGCGACTCTAGGTCTTCTATTATGTGGTATGTGGGAGTGGTAAATTACAAAAAAAAACATATTAAAATTACAAAAAAACCACTGGTAATCTTTTGTATGAGTTTCTCGTTGCTCATACAAAAAACATAGGTTAGATTGACTAATATTATGATAATACACTAAATAGCTTAATATTTGTTACAAATTTTATTATAGTCTTGTAGGTCTTCGTGATTGCAGGACCCTCTTACTTTTTTTGGCACGTGCTTTTTTAGTCTATGCACAAATATTTTGTAGGTTTTTAAGGAATGGGTTTGATTTCATTTAAATTCGTGTGAAAATCATTAAACTTATATTTGGGCGACCATAATTGTGCATGTACTTATTGTATTTTTTTTCTCAAATATATTAAAATTAATTGTTAGAAAAAAATTAATCAAATGAACATACATTTTGTATATACTTGAAATAGCTCAATCTTGATTCTTGACCCATGATTCTTTTGTTATGATGAGGGTTTATTAGTAAAATAGTTTTTACAATAGATGCAAATCGTAAATTATATGTATAGCATTATACCTTCATATGTTTATTCTTTAGCTTTTCCCATTCCTTTCTTTCTTTCCTTCTAGTAGTTTCATCTTCAGAAACCTCTTAAATTATTATTTTCACCATCCATCTAATCCAACGGTCAAGCTTCATTTATCCTCTTTTGTTTTGTAGTAAATCCAACGGCTAATATTTCATTTATCTTCATTTATCCTCGTTTCATTTTAAGTTTTACCTTTCATTAGTTAAGATTTGATTCTTTTTGTTATTAAGAAGTTCAGGCATTAACTTGTAAAATTTACAATGGTAGTAGATGGGATGGCAGATTCACTGCCACCAACAATAACTTTTTTTTTCAAGAAGTATAGATTATATGTTGGTTCTGTTATATAAATGTTCGGAAAAAAATTTGGCAATCGTATGTTATCACATTTGATAAAAATAGAGTGAAAAATTAATAGTTCTATTTGGTAAAATGTAATTATTGCTGCAAAATGATAGACTTAATAAAACATGTTGGCAAACTTCGTTCAACATTATTTTAAAAAACTAAATACTACACCAGGTGCACACAGTTTGGTATAACGTACTGGAGACTGGCATCTGAAGGCTCAATATTGTTATCAAATCCAAAAAAACTTAGTTTTATTTGCTACATACGGAATACGTTCACTAATCAATATATATTTCATTCTGGGTTTTGGACATTTTGGGACATAATTAAACTTTCCCTGCATGACTGATATATGCAATCACTACTAGAAAAATAATTTTTCATGGCGTCACACAACTTTTCGCTGGCGGCCATACGCGAAACCGCCAGCAACAACATCAGGAAGGGTGGGGGGCTTAGGACTGCCAGCGAAAACCGATCTTCACTGGTGTTGGTATTTCTTACGATCACAGATAGAATCCACAAGCGCACGGATATACCGATGTAGCACTTCCCCTACGGAGTATTCCAAGGATATCGAATCCAAGGGAACGTGTGTGGTCAGATCTTCCTCCGGTTCATCCTAGGACACCAAGCAGATGATAGGCAAGGATACAGAGGATTTAGTAGTGAGAAACAGTGTCTAGGGAAAGCTTAACTTTAATCCTAATGCAATACTTCAGGCACTGGCAACCCGCTGTTCTCAGATGTCGCTCTACTACGTACCCGGACAGGGAGGACTTAAGTGATCTCGAGGGCTGTCACCACCTCTATACCTACCTCAAACGTACTGTGGGATACGCAGCAATTACTGGATAACAACTACCAAAACACCACGTCTAAGCAATTAATATATACTTTAGTGTTTATAACTCACCAAAACAATCGCTATATTTTAGTTGATTATAGTGAACAATAATCCCATATGCTATTTAGGAACTAACCAAGAGATAATTCTTACAAGATAAATCTAAATTACTCAGGAAGATAATTCTATTGAAATCAGAGTAATAAAAAGAATAAAAGAAATCAGTAAGAAGTGCATATAGTTTGGCAGTATCACTGGCGCGTGCTGAGGAGGGGTCAAGCTCGTCAGACAGCAACCTAAGTAAGGCATGGAATATGGTTTGGAAGTGCAATGTTCCACAAAAAGTTAAAATCTTTGTGTGGCGTGCAGTCACTAACTGCCTTCCGACGCTGGAGAACAAGAAGAAAAGGAAGCTGGAGGTGTCGAACGTGTGCAGCATATGCGGTGTTGAAACTGAAGACACTGGCCATGCACTCTACCGATGCCCACACGCTTGTCTGTTTTGGGAAGCGATGGGGGTTGATCTGCGTAGGGTGCTTCCGTCCGGCATTGCCGCGGGGAGTACACCAGGGATTCTTGATCACCTAGGAAGGATTGCAGAGTCTGAGAGGGCTGTTACTCTGATGACACTGTGGCGTATCTGGCACGCGCGGAATGAGGTTACCCATGGCAAGCCTGTTCCGGGGATTGCAGCATCAAAAAGATTCATTGAAAGCTATATCCACTCTTTGGCAGAAATCAAGCAACATCAAGAGCCAACCTTGTTAAGGGCAAACATGTGGTGGATGCTCGCGCGTCGAAGCCCAGTGTGTCAGTTCAGATACAGTGTGACGAGAGCCCAAAATGGCAGATACCACAGGCATCTGGATGAAGTTGAATGTGGATGGGTCCTTCCAAGCTAGCGACGGGCAAGGAGGAATCGGTGCAGTACTGCGGAACGCGGAAGGAGAAGTAATTTTTGCAGCGTCTGGATTTGTGGATCGCTACGGCAGTGCGCTGGAAGCTGAACTCCTCTCTTGCAGAGATGGGCTTTCCTTGGCGCTACAATGGACTCTTCTTCCGATTGTCGTAGAGACAGACAGTCTGATGGCGAAGCAACTTGTTCAGTCCGATTCAATGGTGCGTTCAGACATGGTGTTCTTAGTCAGGGAGGTTCGTGACCTCTTGATGGGAAGCAGGGAGGTAAAGCTGTGCAAGATTCATAGAAATCAAAATCATCTGAGCCACTTGTTGGCCAATTTGGGCCGTAGTAATAGCTTAACTAAGTTCAGGCCAGATAACTCTTGTAACTTTATTTCTCACGTGGCTCGTAAGGAGGCTGTTGCCGAGTAATATATCTCCCGTTCCCCGCAAAAAAAAAAACTCACCAAAGCAATCACTATATTTTAGTTGGTTACAGTAAACAATAATCCCGTATGTTGTTTAGGAACTAACCAAGAGATAATTCTCACAAGATAAATCTAAATTACTCAGGAAGAATATTATATTGAATTCAGAGTAATAAACAGAATAAAAGAAATTGGAGAAGATTACCGACAACTCTGGATCATGCATATACACCATTCATAACCATACCTATACTTGTGAACTTTATCAGTGGCTATCTTACCATCTTGAGTAATTGATAGATGGAATGATCCTGATTCCAGTCCTTCTTGCTTCTCTGTCAGACTCATGGGATTTTTATGAATTTTCGCAAACCAGCTCTTTTCCTTATATTGACTTTCTCTCTTATCTCTCAAGGATTTTCTTTTTTGATCCTTACCAGGGCAAAGAGTGCCAGAATATACCTCTATTCTAAGGCTGATACGTGGAGCTCGGTGGGACAAATTGTGACATACCTGCATCAAATATATATTGCAAAGCCAAAATTACGGACTTAATAAGATCATCAGTCATACTCCTAGATCAGGGGTCTTTATGTGTGGTGAGAAATGGAAAAGTAAAATATTTTGTGAAATGGTGGCATAAAGAAATGATTCTCCCTTTTTCCTACACTTTCTCCTTCTTTTGGCATGATTATGGAAGGGGCATGGCTATATTTTCTTCTCATCATGCTCAATGTTTCGAGAGCAAGTTTTGTTCTCTTTTTTTCCTCCTTCTCTTTTTATTTCATAGCCATGCCTTTCCCTGCTTTTCTCATTTTCTTTTTACCAAAAACTTTTCTAGGACAAGAAAGCATAGTCTAATGTAGGAGTTTATTCGAATGGAATTTTTCGTGAGAAGCCAACTTCCAGTGTAGAAGCTTAGCTTTTTATCATGTATGTGGAAATGAAAGTGAAATTGACCCCTTGATCATGAGAGTATGAAAGATATCTAACACGAGTCACACAAATTTGACAAAGCTCAATATAATGTCAAGCAGTAATATGCGTAATAAGGTTGATCATTGATATACTTGCATATGGCCTTAGTAGGTATAAAATGAAGTCAATTGGAGGAATGAGCTTTTAAAACAAATTTTATTTTGAAAACAAATTCCCAATAGTCATAACAAGAGTTGCAAAAATTCCTTTCATCATAAATCATCTCACATGAAGCAATTACCTAGATGCATAAGGTTCCCTACACATGGATGGTTGTTCACAAGCACAAGTTCGGCTGAGAATAATGATTATACAAGATCAATCATATGAAGAATTTCATTAGTTGGAAATTTTATCTTTCACTTATGCTTGAACCAAGTGTTTCCTAAATTTTCACCTCTAGTACTA